CCCTTCAACGGGCCGCGGCGCTGCCTCCTCGTTACACAATCCTCTTTCAGATAATTGGGAAGTCCTATGGATTTTTCTGTGCCTACGGAGCAACGTTCGCTAGTAGAGTCACCCGTCTCTGCCCAGGGAAACGACCAACGGATTGAGTCCGACCCAGCAGGTACTCGGGCCATAATTCCTTTTCATACCGGTACCCCACAACATATTCTTCCAGGGTCCCCTTTGGCAGCTGAGGAAGCTGCATGCCAGGACACGGAGGATCCCACGATCTCCCCCGTGCATGGAGAGGATCCCACGATCTCCTCATTCCTTTCTGGCATGCTGGCGACCGTTGACGAGGATGAACCTATGGATCTGGAGGATGCTATTCCAGCTCACCATCTCGCTGATCTCCTGATCTCAGCGGACCCAGTTCCCACCGAGCCATCTCCTATGGAATCGGAGTCGCAGTATGTTGAGCCCAAGTCAGAGCATCCGCTCGACTCGGGTCTGCAGTCGTCTAGTTCTTCACTAGACCCTATTGGAGCTGTTGCTCCTCCACTTGAGACTATTGGAGCTGTTGCTCCTTCACTTGAATCTATAGGGGCTGTTGCTCCTCAGCAAGACTATGTCGGAGCCGACGCTCCCTCTTCTTCTGACGATAAGCCGTCGACCTCCAAATTCAAATCTGGGGGTTTCTCCAGCTTCTCGTACGCTAGTGTGGTAGCTCGCCAGCAGGCGGCAGCCATCGCGCAGTCATCGGAAACGAGCCGGGCCGCCCCGTTGCCAGTTGCTCCAGCTCCAGCTCCCCGCGTCATCCGTAGACGGCCGGCTAATCATCTTACGGTGGATCCTCGCGGTCAACTGCCCGCTTACACTCCAGCAGGGTATTCCCACCGTCTTATCGAAAGCCACCCGTGGGCACCATTCATTTCGCTTCGGAGCGAGCCATTCCCGTCCAATCCGGACTTCATCACGGCCGCTATGCCGCTCGAGCTCTATAGTCACATACCTCCTGGTGGCTATCTCTCTCCCAAGTTCGTGAAAAGGCTTTTTCCGCTCAAGTTCCGGGAGCAGCCGAGCCGTCGTCAGCGTTTGTCCGTCATCGAGCTGATGCGTCTAGACCACGCTGTCGCGTTCCGACGCTCTTCTCAGCGCGTCATCGACGATCTTCTAGCTGGTCGCTACGTCATCACCGAGAACTCGCGACCCGTGACTCCCGAGGGAACCATGCCCTCCATTGTTTATCCAGAGACGAGGGAACAATTCCCCGTCCTCTACCAGGTCGTCAATAAAGGCGTCGGTCAGGGTGTCGTTCTTGAGGCAAAGGATTTCTTCATTCCCGGACCGGACCGACGCGAGCTGCATCTGATCACCTTGGACCAGTTCGCCACCAACATCTCGACCAACACCCGTGGTTTCGACCGGTCACTCGTCTCCGTCAAGGACTTGGTCTGGGTCTATTCGGTTGAGCCCACTCGGGCAGCCCTACGTGACCCTTCGTTAGCCCTCGAGCGAGCTCGGATCCCCAAGGCTACCGCTCTGGATCAGCGGTACCCATATTTCTTCCGGGTACGGGAGTTCGTCTTCGTCACCCCACCACCAACGACTCAGCGGACTTTCGGCATCGTTATGTCTCTCGTGATCCGTTATGAAGCCGTTAAGGGGTTGCGGATTGCCTTCGAAGGCGCACCAGAGGCCGTCCCCGTCTCTCCGATTGTCTGCGACTTCCCTCTCGGACAGGTTGAGCAAGACGAAATCGTCGCGGCTCACTCCCGCTCCAACGTTTCTTGTGTGATGCGGTTTTCCGAGTCCTCCAGTCTCTGGCGACGCTCAGACGTCCCTCTGCTCCTTTGTCCGGGACTTCCTTCCAGCCCACCCCGAGGAAGGTATGCTTCCCCTTCGCGTCTTCAAGCTCATCTGAGCGGGAGAAGACATGGATCGCGGATAGAGCCGCGCACGCTTCCCCCCGCATGTTGCAAGACCCACGGGCCTCGTCAACCCGTCCGTATGCGCACGCCTGCTCAATGCTGCCTGTTCGGCCTAGCTGCCGTCAACTGCATCAACGACGACAAGCGGACCCATATGCTTACGGCGATCGTCCCCAGCATGTCCGCGTTCCGTCTCCGGTTCGACTTTATCATCGGGGATATGTCATCTGAGTGCGGATGGACAACTCAACGTCCGGTTTACCTATGGGTCATTGGCTCCCGCTCGCTCATCCGGGCCCTCATCGAGCAAGCGGAGCACTCCTACGAGGACCGTTCATCGCGGTCCGCCTCGTGGTCTCCCAGTGCTGAGCACATCGATCAGCCCTCCAGACCGTCTCACGGTTTGCTGCCAGACGCGGCGACATCACCAGTGTGCAGATCGGCGTCAAGCTCGGCGACCTTACCTTCGGGAACTGACCTGCTCTACGAGCTCATTTCGAAGCGGCAGCTTTTTGCTCATTCCCACCCGAATTCTCAAGCCAGGATCATCCTGGACGCCGTTTACGGCTCCCGTCGCGTGCGTGTCGGGCCTGTTGGCCCTCAAATTTGAGAATATTTCCGCCTCTGTAGGTGGTCGGACCTTTCAGCTTCGTCCGGACCAGGTCACAGCCCTGCAAATGGGTGATCGTCTGCTGCCAATTCCTTGCCATTTAGGTTGCTTTTGGCACCGGGAAAACTGTGGTCGGGGCACTCATCGCTGCACGAACGTACGCTTCCTTGCGGCAAGGAGTTATCGCCACCACCACGACCAACAACGCCGTGGCTCAATTCACGGACACCCTGTTGCGGCTCGACGACTACAAGGATCAGCCCCTATTGCGGTACGTTTCTGACACCGGCGTTGATCGACGGTGCCCCCAAACTCCGATCGACCTTCAAACCGTACTCAAGCGCCTGCCGGTAGACTTTGCGTCATCCCTAACAGACAAGGCTCTCGATATCTGCCTCAGGTACAAACGGGGTCGAGAACTTCTTGAACGGCTGATGTTCGATCGTGATCTGGCGATCGACATGTCGGACGCTGAGCGCGATGAGTACCGGTTGGCTGAGCGCGACACCTCTCAGTTGACGCACGACGCGATCGACATCATGTTTCGCGTTCGTCCACCAGCAGTTCTCTGCATCACGACGTCGGCGCTTCTCAACTCAGTCGCGGCGGGCGGTATCTTTCGTGGCAAGCTGGAACAAGTTTACCACGATTATCGGCGACGAAGCCTCCCCAAATTCCGGAGCCGGCCTTGGTAGCTCTTACCACCCATCTCCCTCAGGCTAGCCACATTTTACATCGGCGACGTCCACCAGTTGGAACACCACGCCAGGTGCCCCCGTACATCCAATCCAGCTCGCTTCGGCGCGCACGGCATCATGGACATCCTGGTCGCAAAGGGCGTCCCCATGACTCCCCTCACCACCACGTTCCGGGCTCACTCCGCTTCTGAACTCGACTGACGGCCAAACGTTGTTTGCTACGACCATACCCTTATAAGTGGAACACGCGCAGAAGACCGCCAGATGTTCCTGTCGGTCGTTCGCTGTCCGAACCCTAAGCTGCCCTTCCTTTTCGTCGATGTACCTGGTACATCTGCGAAATCTCTCAGCGGGTCTCACAGCAACGATGTCAAAGCCGAGGTCTGTCGTCAGATAGTGTTGGCATTATTGAGGAAGGACATCCCAACCTCATACATCGCCATCATCGTGTTCTACAGGGTGTCCCAAAATTATGGGCGCCCACACACAGCAATATACAGTAGCGGTCAAAAGTTTGGAAACTTTTTTATTTTTGATCTAGCGCGGCCGATACACAACGAAATTGTCCCAAATTTAGATATTCCATACAAAATCGAGTTCAGAATACGACGGGAAGAACAATTTCCAAAAACCTTAATCATATTTGAGAAATAAGATTTTTTTCAAGTAATGGCGCGTCAAAAGTTTGGGAAACTTTTTGTTTCCCTTATCAGTATGATTCCTACACTTCGATGTTCACTTGTTTCTGTTAATTTTAGTTAAACTATTGAGCAATGTGTAATTTCGAAATGAATTCATATGCAAAGGAAGCAGTTTTCCATGGGAAGTCCTTTCTTGAACCCTACAATACGGAATACGAAATTGAAATGGTTTCTTAGTAGTTCAATCTCTAAGGAAGTAATAGCATCGAATGTTTCTGGCTTTGTTGGAGTCGAGCAAGCATAAAGAAGAATGATCATTCACAAAAAAGTATCCTCACAAGAAAATTGGCCCTCCTCAAATACTTCGGAGGGTGGTTGGCACGTCCCGTGCCCCCGAGTACAGGGTCAAGTGTGCGTTGAGGAATCCTCGACACGTCGCAGGGGGGGGGGTCGTATTGGCCCGCTGGGAGGAAGGGATCGGGCCGGATTGATGCACCACTGTCGGAGGACAAACATCAGGGATCGAGTCGATGCCATGGAAGGCCAGAGGACTTCCAGTACCACTGCTGTTCCGCCCACATAAAATTTTCGTGATTCAGAGGTGTGCGCGTAGTGATTTTTCACTACCTCAGAGTTTTATCTTTAAACTATCACTAACAAGTCAAAAAATCCAAAATTCGCACGTTTTCCAACGGATATTTTATCTTTCAGGTGAGTCCTCGAATCTCAAGGGATGTGAAGCACACGGCGCATACCAGAGTGGGCCCAGTTAGTTGCGCGCGCTTTAACTACGGCTCTTGAGAGAAAAACTCTCAATTCAGAGAAAAATTAAGAGGATCCTGAAAGGGTCTGTGTGAGATTACATGGAGGAGTACACTATTGAGCAAGAAATGCAGCCTTCAGCGTCAAGTTCACAATTCATATAAGCATGTAATCGTTAATGATTTCGCGGTAGAGAGCACAATTTTACACTTTTTGGAAAGAGAAAAGAAAGAGGATTTCGAATCTGCTCCTACTTTAGTGTATAATTGCCCCTGAAAGAAGCTATAGTCGTTGGAGTAGTGCTAATGCAGCGAAAAAGTGACTTTCGGCGGTACTCGGGCAAAAATCCTCAACGTGGCCATTTTTTAAATTGTGGACGTTTTTAGCAGTCCTAGTAACCGTTGAATAGTGCAATTCTTCTAGTTTATGCTGACGTATTTACTTTTCAGATTGGATGGGTTTGAACGTAGTTATGGCCTTGGAAAGCGTAAAAACTCGCACTCATCGCAAATTTTCCTCGTTAATTTTGCAAAAATCCTCAACGTGGCCATTTTTTAAACTAGTGGACGTATAAAGCTGCTTTAGCAACCATTTGATAGAGAAAATCTTCTAGTTTTGTCTGACATATTAACTTTTCGAATTTGACGAAAATGAAGCAAGTTATGGCTCGGAAAGTGTAAAAACTCGTGCTCATCATGAATTTTCCTCGTTAATTGATCTAAATTTGTTATTTCTTATAAATTTTTGTAATTTCAATACTGATTAGAAAGAGCTCTTCACAAAACTCCCAAATCTGCTTTCAGATTGAAAATTCGTCATATTTGAAGAAAGTTATAATCATTTGAATATTTGTTCAAATTTCAATAGTAAATAAGCTGCTCCACGGTCAACGCCAAAGATCAGTCAGCACGCAGCTGGCTAAGACGGTTAAAAAGCTTCTTTCAACTGAAGGGGGACGTGTAAATTGATAACCGTACTCTGTGTAGTACTGAATTTTGGTAAGTCTTGTGAAAGAAATAAATAAAGAAGAGATTGTTGTCATAGTATGCATTTTTAGTGAGTAGTTTGAGGTTTTCTGCTGCTTTTTTCGTTTGCTCGTTTGGTAGGACTCATCAATAATGATTAATTTTTTGACTTTTCACTTTTGTACTTTTTAAAAGAATTTTCGGTTGACGGTGTGATAGCAGGGCTTTTTTATGAACAGTTTTGGGGGAGAATTAGACAACCTTTCCATAGTTCGGCTTAGAGGTCATTTCATGACTTCGCCTCTGGGGGGGTCGATTTCCCCAAATACTTCGGAGGGTGCTTGGCACCCCGTGCCTCCGACATTCCCAAGTGAGAGACAACTTTTTCCAGTTTTCCTCTAATCATATTGAAGTCCAAGTGTAGCACAACATCGGCCGCGACCTGATGAATATTACGGATGGTATCCCAGCAAGTAGCCATTGTTGGGCTTCAAGAGCAGGATGGCCCAACTGGCTTCCGCACTCTATCGGCTAACATGAACCGGAGCCAAGAGGTGAAACTTTGTCCTCAGCGACGAATGAGATTTCTATCTTCCTAGAAATAATATAGTGGACCCTGTGAAGTGTTTTGTCAAATGGGAACCTCATTTTGAGTATGAGATTCCAACAGTCAGAAATAGTGGAAGTACTGTCATGGATGAACATGTGTCCGACCATTCGGCGATTCCACAGTTCTAGGTATCCAGCGAAATGTGGGTTGGGCTAAGTACAAGTATAGTCTGTAGAATACAATGCTCACCTTAGATAGTCAGAACTAGCCGGAAAGATGGGTTTTCTATTACGAAATAAACCC